ATTAAAACATTGTTCTTGATTTCAGTAAAACAAAGATAAAGAAGGAAGTCACATGTCCCTCCTAATATCAACCTCGAGAGAAAAGATAAGATATATGGAGATTGAACAGCACAGAACCAGAATGAAAGTGAAAACAAAAACAGCCAGTGTGAGACACATGAGAGAGGGCATCTACTAATTCCACTGATAACTCGTCATAGAAATCCCTCCTGAATTCTCCTGATCTTTACCTTTAAAGACAGAAGAATTCTCCTTCTTAGAAGCTAATAAAATGCGACCAATGAATTTCCTTTCAGTACACATGAAACATACTCTTGATCAGTTTCAGGGAGATAGACGCCAAAGAAGAGAAAGAGACACTTGTAGTCATGACAAGAATAAATTATATAGCCATTTTAGCTTCCTATACAAGACTCTGATTTCAGGAGATGTATTCGGGGTAAGTGATGAGGCATCCAAATAGCTATATAGGTCAGCTACATTCCGAAGATATCCAGGACAACCACAAGATGGGGGCTCCTTCGTTATAATTCTACATACCACGACAACGGCTTAATGACGAACATATTAATGTAAAACTAAAAGAAGGGACTTACTCAGGTCAAGATATCATGTTACGATACGAGACACAGTTGAAATGTGATGTAGATAGGATGGTAAGAAGAAAAAGGGTACTAATTGTTCAAATTAAAAAGGGATTATGGGAGTTACGATCCCCCTTCAGCGATGGCGGATCACCGGTATCATTTCAACATAGCATCCAATAATAATCAGTTACTGTGTTGGAACAGGCTGCTGAGATCTTGTCTCACATGTATTTCTCCACGCCTCATATACAATCCTTAAAACGAGGCTTACTGATACGGTCGAAGGATTGCCAATATTCGGATACTTTCAGAAGCACACAGAGATATCCTATGACGCATAAAACAAGGAGTGCATAAGATACAGAGAGGACAGCTGTTAATGAGATGCCTATAAATATACGGTAATACTTCCAGTGTGAATGAGACGAGCAGCCTTGAAAGGAGCATCAGACGATATAGCTCAATCCCCAGTAGGCAGTACTGACTCCTCCTAATATGCTGATGGTGTCTACCCCTCCTTACGGAATTGTACGTCTTATATGATAAGGACGGTGCGGGATGATGTAGAATTCTTCGACATGTATGTATTATTTCTGCTGCCGTGATCTTATGTACTGGATCTCACACCGAATTGATGACGGCGTGGTATTCCTTCAGGATTATAGTACGGATTCCCCGAATGCCTACTCCTAATTCTGGAGTCTGAGTATTGCGATGCTTGTTAAAATTGGTCCTCTCAGTTGTTGAAGTACAGTATAGATTTCCCGCACTTCCCCCTTGGAGGTTCAGGACATATTTTGCTCGACTT